GCCAGGAGACTGAGGTAATCTTTTGAGGCCACACCTATGGTCCTCCTCTGACCTCCCCAGATTAACCGATGGATCGTAGCAGAATCTGAAAGGAAGGACAAACAAGAACAGCCAACACATATCCTTCCCAACTGCTATAGCTGAACCTGGACTCGCTCAGGCCCCCTAGGCGCGGGGCGCCCTGTACGGGGGGGAAGTGACTCCTCCCATACCTTTCTTCTAAACATGCAGTTCAGGTAAGTCCAACTGCCAGTTTCCGAAGAGAAGGTGTGGGAGGAGTAATCAATGGGACATACCAAAGCTAGATGTCCTGGGAGGGATTAGATGGGCCTGAGCCCGCCGGAGAGTCCAGGGCTCCCTGCAGTACCCTCCTGCCAAAGGCCGCCTCCGCAGAGGCAGAGGCGTCTAGTCTGTAATGCTTAATAAAGGGAGAAGGAGAAGCCCAGGCGGCCGCCCGGCAGATCTCCTCTATGAGTGCCTGGGTGGACCAGGCTGCTGAGGTGGCCACACTTCTGGTGGAGTGCGCCATGATGCCCTCTGGGACCTGGAGTCCCCGTGCCCCGTATGCCTGAGATATGGCCGCTCTAATCCATCTGCTGATGGTAGCCGGAGAGACCTTGGCTCCCCGGGAGGAAGGTTGGTAGGACACGAAGAGGGCCTCCGAACGCCTAAAGGGTGCCATGCGCTTCAGGTATATGCACAAGGCTCTTCTGACCTTGGGCATGAAAGCTGGGTCGAGTCTGAGGATGACCCGGTTATCTAAGAAGGTGCAGAGATCCGCCCTGCTGGAGAGGGCGTTGATCTCAGAAACCCTTCTGGCCGAGGTGATGGCGACCAGGAAGACGACCTTAAGGGTCAGAAGCTGAAGGGAAACCTCCCTCAAGGGTTCAAACGGAGCTTCCGTCAGGGCCTGAAGAACCGTGGGAAGGTCCCAGGTGTGGAATCGATGGACCACTGAGGGTTTCAGATTCGCCGCCCCCTTGAGGAAGCGCTTTAACACCGGATGCTGGGACAAGGGGGGAGCGTTCACCCCCCCTAGAACCGTAGAGAAGGCGGAGACCTGTCGCCTAAGTGTACTGGTGGCTAGACCTTTCTCATGCCCTTCCTGGAGGAAGTCCAGGACCTGTGGGACCGAGGCCGCTGCTGGGAAGAGACCCTTAGCTCGGCACCAGTCTGCAAATGCCACCCAGGAAGTGTTGTAGATGCATGTGGTGGACTGCCTCCTGGATGCCTCTACTGTCCTGATGACACTCTCGGAAAATTGAGCCTCTTAATTGTTCCCGCTCAATCCCCAGACGGTCAGATGAAGCCACTCCGGATCCAGATATTCCAGAGACCCCTGGAGCAGGACCACCTCCCCTGCTGAGATCCTCCAGTGAGGGGCCGTGGACAGATCCACGAGGTCTGCCAGCCAGGGGCGGCGAGGCCAGAAGGGAGCCACCATTATTACCTCTGCTCCCTCTGTCACCACCCTCCTCAGGACCCCGGGAATGAGGGGAAGGGGGGGGGAAGGCGTAGAGAAGACCTAGTGGCCATCTGCATCGAAGGGTGTCCGTGTCCGTGGCTCCTTTGGTCGGAAACCTTGACACGAATTCTGGCAGCTGGGCGTTCTGCAGGGTCGCGAAGAGGTCCACCGTCGGATGTCCGAACCTCTCGCAGATCTGATGGAAGATTGAGGGATGGAGTTGCCACTCCCCGTTGTCGATCGTCTCCCTGCTGAGCCAGTCTGCCTGATGGTTTTCTGTCCCGGAGATGTGTTCTGCTCTGATGGATTGCAGGTGTCTCTCTGCCCAATTCCCCAGTCGCAGGGCCTCGTCGCGAAGGGCCCTGGAGTGGGTGCCGCTCTGTCTGTTCACGTGGGCCGTGGCCGCTACGTTGTCGGTCAGGACTAGGATGTGATGACTGGTCACTGTGTCCTTGAAGTGGCGGAGAGTCAGATGGATGGCTCTGAGCTCCAACCAGTTGATGTTGTTTCGTAGGTCTGTTGGAGTCCACCGGCCCTGGGTG